GACTCGACCACACGAACCAACACACCAAGCAAGACAAGCCTTCACCAAGCACGTCCAACCTCCAACACAACCCACCATCGAACCACCCTCACTCCACCCAAGTACCCATCTCAATCTCACCTCTAACAATCATGCACCACGCCTCTATTCGCCTCATCTCTGTCCCTTGCAGCCTCGCTTCGGTACAACGAGCTTCCGAACCATGCGCATGATGAAACAAGACCTCTTAGCACCACCATAGTAATCCCACCGTTCCACTCTGAATACCTTGGCAGCTATAACAAAGGATCAAAGCTGTGATGTTAGAGAATGAAGGTGGTGCGATGATGGGTCGATACATTCGCCGATGGGATTGGGAAGGAGAGTGTAGGTGTGTGGGTGTAAGGCCACCTGCCTGTCTTACCCCGAATCCCTACGCGCGCGCGATAACTCTTCCGTCTTCCTTCAAGAACGGTTCCATACCACTGCTTCTCTTTCTTTATGCATGTATTATCGTTGTGCGTGTACTTGGATATACATAGCAACTGCCAGCGCGATGCGCGTCGTCAAGCCGCCAGTCCAGTCGCCACATATTGCGGCGCAGTCGTGCAGCAAAGACGGACCGGAGACCGCGGGGATGGAAATAGACGGGAAGTCTGATGTGCATGCGGCGTGGGCGGTTCTATAGGCTGATATGGTTCTGTGGATTGCGATGGTGTACGTCTTCGGGATTGAAGAAGACGAGGGTGCTTGCAGGTGGTGTTCGCGACTTCCATGCGATGACGAGGTACGCGCCCCGGTTTCCTCAACATGTGTTTTCCTTCCATAAATGACATGACACCTAGCAAAGCGAATGAACAGCAATAGTCTAACTACCATTGTCTGTCTGCGCCAACGTGACATATCAATCCTTCCGTCGTACACCGTACCTGCGTGACAACCCAACCGCCGCATCTAGAACCCATCAATCGGTGAATGCGCCGAGCCAACACACCAACAAACACTTCCATCCCCATCCCGAATCGGTCACGAGCCGAGGCTACACAAACGCTATTCATGGTTTACGCATGTTTTTTCTCCACTCAACACCACGTCTCCAACTATCGTGAAATCCGACTTCTCTCTACTAGTCTCGGAGGTTCGGTGTAGGTTACACTACCAGAAGCAGTATAGCTGCAGCCACCTACCTCCAACCCCACCACGTAGCTTCGCGGCGGAAACGTACAAGGGGTCCAACTGCATCGCGGAACTGCCAGACTGGGAAGCCGATACTTGCGCGTACCTGCCCCTTCTTGCGGACTTGTCTGCCCTCCCATTCGTGGAAAGACTGGTGATGCGCGACTATGTGGGGTTCTTCCTCCAACTTGCCATGGCGGGGCGGCGTGACGTTCTCATGAATGGAAGTATTATTCACGGGCGCGGTTTGCGTGGTTGCCCCGCACCAATTGCGAAGGAGCGGAAGGGTAAAGTCTGGGTTATAGTAATGGATTAGGTACATGCTGGCAAGCACCAAGCGGTAAAGGCGTACGCTTGCAGACAGGCAGAAAAGAAGGGCCGCGGGAGTAGTAAAAGGTGGCCAGGTGATCTTTATTGACGCGGTTGTCCCCCCCAGTTTTTTGTTTACCTACCCTTTCTACTATCGGACCTTTCCTGCATCATCCCCATCCTTGCGATTGCATACCTTTAAACGTTCCTTTTTCGTGCGTTTGGTTCCATGGCTTCTCTTCCCCTCTTCACTAGCTGGGCGTCGGAGATTAAGCAACAACTCAGCATCAAGGAAGAGACGACCAAGATGAACGGCACACACACTGAGGCTGCTGCTGCGCCGGCGACGAACGGTGTTAGCAAGGCTAATGGCAACGGCACGGATGTTCAGTTCTCGTCAAAGGCTAATATCGGTGTTTACACCAACCCCGCGCATGATCTCTGGGTCGCGGAGGCGGAACCCAGTCTGGAGGTTGTGCAAAGAGGAGGAGATTTGAAGCCAGGCGAGGTTCTTATCAATGTCAAGAGCACGGGAATTTGCGGGAGTGATATTCACTTCTGGCACGCTGTACGTTTTCCATGCCCCTGGGGTTTTGACGGCAGCAGAAAGCTTCCAAAGCTACACAGAGGACGAACAAGTGCTAACTCCAATTCTAGGGCTGCATCGGACCCATGATCGTAGAAGATACCCACGTCCTCGGCCACGAATCCGCCGGCACAGTAATGGCCTGCCACGAATCCGTCACGCACCTCAAGCCCGGCGACCGCGTAGCCATCGAACCCAACATCATCTGCGGCGAATGCGAGCCCTGCCTCACAGGCCGCTACAACGGCTGCGAGCGCGTCCAATTCCTGTCCACACCACCCGTCACCGGCCTGCTCCGCCGCTACCTCAAGCACCCAGCCATGTGGTGCCACAAGCTGCCCGACAGCATGACCTTCGAAGACGGCGCCATGTTGGAGCCTCTTTCCGTTGCTCTTGCTGGCATGGACCGCGCGAACATCCGCCTGGGTGACCCCACCATCGTCTGCGGCGCCGGCCCCATCGGCCTCGTCACACTTCTCTGCTGTCAAGCGGCTGGCGCGACCCCCCTCGTAATCACCGACATCGACCAAGGCCGTCTCGACTTCGCCAAAACCCTCGTCCCCGGCGTCCTAACCCACAAAGTCGAATTCAGCCACTCAGCCACGGATTTCCAATCCGCCATCCTCAAACTGACCGACGGCGTCGAGCCCAGCCACGCCATGGAATGCACCGGCGTCGAATCCTCCATCTGCGCCGCCATCCAAACCGTCAAATTCGGCGGCAAAGTCTTCGTCATCGGCGTCGGCAAGAACGAGATGAAGATTCCTTTCATGAGACTGAGTACCCGCGAGGTGGATCTGCAGTTCCAGTACCGCTACTGCAATACTTGGCCCAAGGCTATCCGGTTATACAAGTCTGGTGTGATTGATTTGAGCAAGCTGGTTACGCATAGGTATAAGCTTGAGGATGCGGTTGAGGCGTTTAAGACGGCGGCGGATCCCAAGACGGGGTGTATTAAGGTGCAGATTCAGAGTTTGGATTAGGCGTGGGTAGGGGAGTTGAGTGGCGAGAGGTTTCTTTATGATGTATATGACGATGACGATGATGAGCATGAAGTGCGGTGGCTGGTGTGAGGGTGCATTCAGCATTTACATCTTGGCGTTTTTCGGGGAGAGTTCGTCTGGTTGACGATATCTAGCAGAAATGAGATTATGACTCTATGCATCTCCTGTGCCTATATGTGCTGCTTAGCTCAGCTCCCATGCGGTCTGATTGTACGTCCACATACTGCTTTCACCATACGCATCGCTCCATCCAAGAAAACTCGCAACGACCCCTCACTCGGGCCCCTCTTCACCTGACAGCAGCTGCTTATCCGGCTCGACCACTTTAGATTGATATGGGCCGATCGATATGTCCGCGGATAGTTCTACATTCGTTACAAGAGACGGTTATGCCGGCATACTCCATGGGTGTTTTGGGAACCACAGAGTTGCATTCATCATTCGGCACCGAAGCAACAGAGGAGCATAGAGCCGTAGACATGGATCTATAGACAGAGAAGTCAGTATTGTGATGACCCAGAAGGAGAGATATGAGGCAAGAGAGTGCTTACATGCTGCTACCATGGAAAGCCGTATTCCTCCGCTAGGGAGACTACATTCGGCGCGTGTACCTTGTCCCAATGTCTATAAAGTTGCTCGCGCTTTACATTACGGATGCGCCGTGGTCATGACTGCATCAAGAGAACGAAGTCGCTGAAGCGACAGTTCGACGTGTGTTCCGACGAGGCTGGCGCGTCATCATGGGCAGATTGGTACGTTGAGTTGAGGGTTGGGGATGATGACGACGGGACCTCGACGCGTTGTCGCACAGACCAATATCGTCCAACCTACGCGTTCCTCCAACCCCCCAATCGCTTCTTGCATCTCCTCCTCGCATCCATAACACATGTATGAGTTTCCGCGCACGAATTTCTTCCCGTTCAGTCTACAATCTGCAAGGCCCTGCAAGGCCCTGCAAGTCAGATACAAGCTTTATCGTATTAGCAGTGGCCAATGAACCACAGCAAGCCATTTACCCTACTCGTTCCAGCTTCTCCTGCGTAGAAAGGCCCTGCAGGTCGCGCGCAGGTCTCTCGTGGCTCTGCATATGCTTACTGTCAGCACCCTATGCTCATGTTGCTCTATGATAAGTTTCCTTCGCCTGTCGCGCTTCTTCGAAATGATCCTTCCACCTTTCCTTCTCGACCCTCAACATGCTGCTCCAAAGCGTTTTCTTGCTATGCTTCGCTATACTTACAGAGGCTCGTACGCATCTCGGACGTACTGCGCAAGTGATTGAAGCAAGACAGCTCAGCAATGAGACGGCATACGATTTCATTGTTGCTGGTGGTGGCATTGCGGGGCTTACTGTTGCAGATCGATTAACGGAGAACCCAAATGGTACATCACTCGCGTGCTCGAAAGGCTTCAAATTAATCGTACGCGATAGTCACAGTACTAGTAGTCGAATACGGCCCTTTCGACCAGAGAGAAGATGGTATCATGATCCCTGGGGCCTATTTTCCGGTGCCTTACCTCTGGCTGCCCTTGATGAGTACGCCACAAACCGCGCTTGGTGGTACATCGTATGGTGTGCCATGTGGCAGGGTGGTGGGCGGCGGGTCTGTTGTGAACGCCATGTTCTTCCATCGATCAGACGCAGAGCTCTATAACGCTTGGGAAGAACTGGGTGCGACTGGCTGGGGTTGGGCTGACCTGTTTCCGTATTTCAAGAAGGTATGGTTTACTCTCGCTTTGTGAACAGTATGCTGATGATGAGAAGAGTGAGAAGTTTACAGCACCGGACGCGATTTATGCAGCTCGTCACAACATTACTTGGGATGTTTCCGTACATGGCTTTGATGGTCCAGTGCAGGCTAGCCATGCTCCTTATGACTACCCGGGTAGCGGTGAGTCTCTAGCGACCCGGCTGAAGTATCTATAAGCTCACGATCAGGGTAGCCAACATGTACAACGGAGCCCTAAAGCTAGGTATCCAGCCAGCCCTGGATCCCAACAATGGCCGCGCTCAAGGAATCTTTCGCCTCCTTCGCTCCGTTGACCCCAAAACCCAGACGCGTTCTTCAGCTCGAATCAATCGCTATCATAGGAATGATGCGAGGCCAAACTATCATATCCTCTCGGATACGGCGGTATCGCGCATTCTGTTCGAGACTGTCACCGCTGTAGGCGTGGAGTATATTGACACGTCTGGTGGCGAGAAGCACATTGTCCGAGCGAGCAAAGAAGTCATCATAGCTGCTGGAAGCGTTCATACCCCGCAGATCCTGCAACTTTCTGGGATTGGCGACACTGCTCATCTGGAGAGCTTGGGTATTGAGACTGTTTCAGGTCTCCCTGGTGTCGGTCGAAATCTGCAGGATCATCTGGTTCTGAAAGTGAATTACAACTGTACGCGACTGAATTCCATACTGTCATTTATGGATTGGCTGATTGATACAGATACATCTAATCACTTTCCAAACGGCGGTTCATTGCAGTCCAACGCCACGTACGCCACAGAACAACGCGCTCTCTACGACGCTGGAAAAGCAAGCGCATTCGACCTCACTGGTACAACTGGTAATCTCATGATTCAGCTGCCGCTTTTAAACTGGACGAACGACTCCGCATCCATCATATCTCGAGCGTCCTCTCTCTCACCGAGCGATGTACTTGGTAGCGATGTCGACCCATCAGTTCTCGCCGGGTATGAAAGACAGCGTGCCATCATCCTCAAGGACATCAACGTAGAGGCCGTGGGCGGTCTATCATGGAACACCGGCCCAGAAACAAGCATCTACATGACCCGCCCTCTCAGCCGTGGTTCAATCACCATAAACTCAACTAGCATCCTTGACGCTCCACTCATCGATTACGGCGCGCTGACAGACCCAAACGACCTCGACATGTTATACGCGATCTACATGAAGAACCGCGAACTAATGGCAACATCTGATACCGCCATTCTCGGTCCCATAGAGACAGCACCCGCACCGGGCATCAGCAATGAGCAAGATATCAAGGAGAAGATCAAAGCGGCATTGCAGCCAAGTAACGCGCATCAGTGCTGCACTGCTGCTATGATGCCAAGAGAATATGGCGGGGTCGTCGACCCGCAGAATAGAGTCTATGGCACGTTCGGACTGAGTGTGGTGGATGCGAGTACGTGGCCGCTTGTTGCTGGTGGTGGGCCGCAGGCTAGTGTTTATGCTGGAGCTGAGAAGGTGAGGTTATGATCGAGAAAAGCTGGTGATCATATATACTAATGATGCGTAGGCCGCGGATATGATCAAGAAGCGTCACGGATTGCTTTGAGATCCGTCTCGTGATGTGCTTGGCGTTCGTAAGCCGCGGCGTGGACATGGAGAAGTTGTCGGGGTTTGCGGAGTTATCGCTCTTGACTCTCTGTCGGGCGTTGATCTCATCTCACGTGTAGTCTACATCCAATGCATAGTACTCTGAGGCAGCACCGAGGTGTTTGAGCGTGGTTACTAAATGGACTCTCGCATCAAGAGCTATATATACTTGAGCCTACGAGGAGCAGTCCTTCACTTCATCAACTAGTCGCACTCGAGATGGATACTTCACAGCTTTTCAGTGTCGAAGGCATGATTGCTGTGGTTACAGGCGGAGGCACAGGTACCTTCTCTTCTTACCATCATCTCATATCGATACCTCCTTCACTCCTAACACCACTGCCAGGGATCGGCCTCATGATAGCCCGCGCCCTCGCCTGCGCCGGCGCATCCAAAATATACATCCTCGGGCGCCGCGAAGACAAACTTTCCACCGCAGCCTCTCAACACGAAAATATCATCCCACTCCAATGCGACATCACATCCAAAGCATCCCTGCAAGCCGCCGTGGACTTCATCACCCAAGATATGGGCTACATCAACCTCCTTGTCGCAAACTCCGGTATCTACGGTCCACCGTCAAGTTTCATGCCCTGCTCAAGCGTCAAAGAACTGAGGGAGCATATGTTCGAGAAAACATCTATGGAAGACTTCACGCAGACCTTTCATGTCAACACTACCGCGACGTATTTTACCATGCTGGCTTTTCTCGAACTACTGGATGCAGGAAACAAGAATGCCATAGCCGGTGGATTTGGTAAGCCACTGAAAGAAGGTAGCAAAATACCGAGTATACAGTCACAAGTCATCATTACATCCAGCGTAGGCGCCTTCCTGCGTGAATGGCAATGCGCGCCAGCATACGCGGGGAGTAAAGCAGCGATCATGCATTTGGTCAAACACACCAGTACAGGGCTTGCGCCGCATGGTATCAGAGTCAATGCTCTGGCGCCTGGATGTTCGTCTCCCCCTCCCCACAAACCTACCGCTCCGTGGCTAACAGCATGTCAGTCTTCCCATCTGAGATGGCCAACGCAGTTATCGAAGGCAGGAACCCCAGTACAGAGAGCGTCGACGATCCAAACTTCATTCCTGCACGAAGATTTGGCGGAGAGGAGGAGATGGGTGGAACGGTGTTGTATCTTGCGAGTCGGGCGGGGAGCTTTTGCAATGGGTTGGTGCTTGTGAATGAAGGGGGGAGGTTGGGTGTTACGACGAGCAGTTATTAAAGATGGTAAGGGTACGGGCCATGTATGAGCAGCTGCCATGTCAATATGAAGGCAAGCTGTATATTCTCTTATTTCCAGCCCTGGACGAGAGTAATCGCGACGCCGTTGCATGCGCGCTGTGACTATGACATCACAGACGCTAAAACATCCACCGCCTGATGCACGTCGTTTGCGATACTTCCGCTGATCATGCCGAGCAGCGTAAGCTGCTTTTCCCGACCAAAAAGATGTTTAATGTCCGACCGGCTAGCAGCAGCTGTAGGACGAGGGAAGACAAGGCTGAGCGAGAGAGCCTTCACCCCAGCGTTCCTCAGCGGCAAGCGCTATGACAGGTGGACCACGACCCACCATCTACTGCCCACCGCCATCCCTAACCCCCAAACCAGCCTTTCACAAAATCCTTCGATACCACAAACCCTCCTTCTAGCTCCCAACCCATCACCTCTGTGTCCCCCCACCCCCTCCCGGCACCACTTCCCCCATCCACACGGCATCACACCGCCCCTCGGCCCCTTTTCCCATCCACCACGCACCCTCCTACAACACACATGCAACGCTCTTGGGATGATCCCCGTATACGCGCTGTACAGAAGTGGAGCCTCATACTACGCATCCAGTCCTTGCATGGTCTGCTGTGCGACACCTGCTGACCGGCTTTGTGCGTGTGTGACGGGCTGTCGTGTGTAACGCGAGCAGGGAGGATATGCCTGCACCTGCCCTGCGGCAGGGTCCAGATGCAGCCCGGACCCGTGTTCTGAAACGAGCGTTTGTTTACTGCGTTTGGTTGTGTGGGTTCGGGGCGGTGTGTAGCCTGCGATGTATGTATGTGGGGAGACGGATGGTGGAAAGCGGTATGTGGAAGAGAGATTGCTGGTTGGGGTGTGTCGTTACGAGGTGGTGTGGGTCTGTTTTCGGGGTTTTGCAGCGAGTGTTTTGGGGGGAAGTGACATGCGATCAGGCGTGAGCTGAGGTATCTGCAAGTCAGGCAGGGGTATACTGTTGGAGTGTGGTTGCGCAGCTCAAGGTAAACTCTTTGGAGAAGCGAGAACGTGCATGTCATTTTGGGAACAACGTGAGAGTGGTGAGCAACGCGCGTCAGGTGGTGATAGTACCTTGCTTTACTCTGCAGGTGGAACCGTGGGGTTGAAGCTCGTTACGATTATCATTATTCGCTCATGACACCTTTTATGCTAATCAGTACAAAGTATCCGGTACATGACCTCCTATATTTCCGTGGTATCGCATGCGCAGCAACCTTATACACACTAAGCTTGCGACATGTGCTTTTCCCAATTTGAGCGAGTGTGAACGTGATAAGAATGCGGGGTGTGTTTAAGGAGCGGCCCTGGCGTTTTGTCTTGATGAGAAGACATGGTAGTGATACTGATGTACAGGAATAGACATTAGCCGCCCAAGCAGAAAACAATCGTAACGTTTCGTAGCGTAGCAATGATGCTGAAAGCAATGCAGTGTAGAACATCGAGACGAATACATAGCGTTACAACACAGTGTTGAATAAGCAGAAAGGAAACATGGTTTGATGAACGCCAACCGGGAATGGCTCACCGGTTGCTGAGGACAATGCGAAAGCGTAACGTGAACCGGGCCGAGAGCCATGCTCATAATGATGACGGAGTGCTCGACGAGTCGATTGCCCGGACTAAGATGCAGAGAGGGAACAGCGTGCTGGCTGGAGCTCCCTATCCAAGGATGCAGCGATGTGAGATGTTGTACATTGGCATAAATTCAGACCATTAAGTACCCCATGGTGGTGAAAAAAGGATTGGGCTACGCAATAGTGACGAAGTAAGAAGAGTGATGCAGGCAGGCTGATTCGCTGTGATGCTGAAGAGGGTATCTCAGTAAGTGCTGTTGAGGTTTCCCATTGAGGTGCGGTGGAGCTGCACAGGCTGCATGTTCCGATTCTGGCACGACTCGCGATGCAAGCTGCGATTTCCTGGGGAGCTCCGTGTCTGGCTGTGGCTGAGAGGTGTGTAGCGATGACCACTGACGAGTGTGCAATCGCTCGATGACTCGCCACTTAGCGAGCTCCGCTTTGACGAGTCAGGGCTGTAGCTGTATAGATTCGTCTGTGAGGCTGGGCGTGTCATTGGGCGTGTCTCACGGACATAGGAGTAGTTTGTCGCTGGAGCTGGCGCACTCATGCCTTCGAGAAGACCAGATGTACTGAAGTTCAGCTCTAGCTGAGATGCAGTGGTGGTGGCAGTCGCATCGTCCGCGGTCGACGTTGTATTTGGCATGTAGCCCATCCTGCTCTCCGCGTTGTCTGGCATGACCGGGGATATTAGTTGGGTAAAGGCATCTGCAGATGACGCCCCGGATGCGTTGGCGTGACTCTCGCTGTCGGTAGTCCACGGTAGTAACGATTTCGCGAAAGAGCCTCTACCGTCCATACCCGAAGTGCCAATAGCCTGGGCCGAGCGGAGACGAGCATCTTGCATCTGGTCTACAACATGGCTGCTCTGAGCTGGGCTCGGTTGTGGCATTGGCAGTTGTCTCCTAGGCACACTGGAATCCAGAGGGAGAGGTTGTCGTGGATGGGGCCTCTCAGGGATAGTCAATTGCAGAGAAGACATTCCGGTATTGAGAGGGGATACGTCCGAAGGTGTGGCTAGTCGACCATTTGTATGAGCGAATTGCAAGTCGTGATCAAAGTATGTGCTTCCTTGCTGTAAAGACTTCGCAGTTGGCTGAGTCCAGCGATAAGCGGGCGTGTACATGTTTGTGTTTGCGATTGCTGTAGACTGTGGTAGATATGCGGGTGGCTGGTCGAGAGGGTAGGCGTCAACCGGCGATGTGTCTTCTGAATAGGGAAGAGTCCATGCTGAAGAATAGGCCGGCTTCGAATCGAGTTGTGAATATTGCTGATTTGGCATGGGGCGTGCATAAAGACCGCTATTGCCTCCCGTAGAGTACATGGACATCATGTTGTTATGCGCGGTAGCCATACCACTGAGGCTGTAAGCCATGCTTCTGTCGTCTAGCACTTTGTGGACGGAATCGGATCCCACCTGACTGAATGAGTGAATGTACAAAACGCAAGCAACTAACGTACTCTGTGGAATTGACAGCCTGCCGGTTCTACTCCAGCCGTTCGACAGTTGACGCACCCAATACCATTTCCAGGATCGCCGCTGCATCGAATCTTCCTCTTACGGCAACGCGCGCACTGGAGACAATGTTAGTAAAAGTAGGAACAGCATTTATAGAGAATGTAGTTAGGAGGGCAGCGAGAAATTGTGTTCTTTGTGAATGGTTCCGAAATTGTTGAACCACATGTTGACATACCGCTACTGCAATGCGACGTCTCGCTGGCCCATTTCCCATCATGGGTTCTTCCATGCTGGCTCGGTTATGCATACCGCCCACTGGGCCGCCCATGGGATAACCTCGTGGATTTTCTCGCGCATTGTGGGCTAAGGACAGCGGAGCATTGCGATCGCTGTACATGTAGTTCGGATAGGACAGGTTGTGAGGCAAACAGCGTCGCGGACTGCCGTACTCCATGACTGACATACTGGCGAATCAACTGAACGTCAGCTATTTCAGTCTCCATGACCTGAAGTTGACTTACATCTCACAAGGATACCGACAAGATCGACTGTTGGCGAATTACCCACAGGTATGATTCGGATAGCGTTCGCGGGATGCAACGCCCGAGTCAAGAGAGGGCAGTAGTTGATGACTGGACCGTGGGCGCTCCTCCAGGGAGAAAGTGTAATGAACCGGTGAGCAGGTCATACGATGATCGGCTGGCAGGATTATGTTTATAACCCAAACGAGTTCCTTGCGTCGGCAAAGACTGTTATACTGGATAAGAGAATGATGCAGGGCGAACGTGGCTCCAAAGAATGGCTTCGAGAGTGAGTGTTGATCAGGAATTTGTTTGTGACCTCTGTCCCCCATGAGAGCTATCTCGTTAGTGCCTCCGGACACCTGCATGCATGGACGCGGTACGGTGACTGTACAAGAACCTGGGCCTGCGCTTCCAAGAGAGCACTGGCCAAGCCCCGCGGAGAGAAAGACAGGTGAAACATTGTACGGCCTAGGTCCTGTGAATACTTCTTCATGACAAGCGCCAGAGCCGAATCAAGACCCATGAAGTATGTGATGTGGCCCCCACCCCTTCCTCGATGGGGCTATCTTGTAGTCGTGAGGCTTTAGCAGATACCCGATCGGACAAACACTGATGACTTTTCCCGTTACAAAGAAGCCACGTTATCAGCTAGGCTTGATCTTTCGCAAACAGTCGATGGATGTTTGTAACTGACATAGTGTTACCGCGGATCCGGGATGCGAGGCACGGATTTGACAGTTTCAATCGACTTGCCCTAATCCAGGACGAGTGCGCCAGGCTCGCAGGGGTGTCAAAAGAGTTAGTGCGCTACACTTGCGAGGAACGGGCTTTCTATGAGGAATAACACGCTGTCGACCAGCGAAACAACCTACTAAGGACTCTCAAGTCTCGTAGTACTGCTTGTAGCATATATTGGCACATTTGATCCTAGGAAGGGTCTGTTGTCAGATCAACTAATCGCTTCGAGCATACATGGCTTGCGCTGAAACGTACCTGCAGATGATAGCCAGCCTCCTTGAAGACCCTCTGATTGGCTAATTGACGAGCCAATACCGCTGGTAGTACCTCCGATCACGTCATTTGCTAACAATCTGTTCAACCTTACAAGTTTGGCCGCTGAGGATGGTCCAGAGAATTGGCAGAGGATTGTACGATTGGCGATCCAACAGCCCTGCACTGAACATGTATGCTACCGCTGGCATCTATCCCACAGCCCCACGGCAAACGGATATACGGGGGGAAAGCTGGGGTAAGGTTCCGGTGGGTCCTATGCCTATTATGGATCGCGGTGAACGAAAAGAACTGGATCCGATGATGGGCCGGCTTCCAGATGGTACCACGTAGAGCCGATACGAAGATGATGCTACGTAGCGTATCTCAAAGTAATGCTCCGTGTTCACTA